GGAGAGACTGAAGCATATCTTTAAATCCTCCCATTGAAATCAATGGGGCTTAAAGGTGCTTAATTGTGGCTATAATTTGCACCTTATATTATCGCACAGGCTGACCTGTGCATTCCATAATTAATTCTCCTTTTGCTCGCTCTTCCTTGGTCTTAGGGGAACTTTAAGCATCTGGATAGATCCTCCACTCATTTGGGCAGCAGCCAAAATCCCGTCGCTTCTAAGGAAAGGCGCTTGGCCAGGAATCTCCCATGAAAGGACACCGTGCCCGGGGACGAACTAACAGCCGCTGACAAGCAAGAGGCGGGATGCAATGAGCGCCGCAAGGAAGAGAAAGCCCCGCGCGCGCGAAATCGGTGTGCGTCCTCCGCGCGAAGGGAAGACCCGGAAGCGAGGGGCGAGGCGGGACCCCGTCCGCCGCCGCGGTGGCTCGGCCCGATCCCGGAGGGGATGCGCCGGGCGCTCCTCAGGGCCGCCTCGGGCGCTCGGGAGGCGCGCAGGGGGCCAGCCGGAGCAAGAGGGGGACATGCCAGCCGGCGCGGCAGATCCCGCCCCCGCCCCTCGGCCTCCCCCGGGGGGCCGCGGCGAGGGGAGGTGGAGGTGGCGGAGAGGAAGAGCGCCGCGTGCGCCCCGGGAGCGGCTCTGGCAGCCCATCCAGGCCGCGAGAGGAACCTGCGGGGCAGCGGGCCGCCGTGCGCCCGCGGCGCGGCGGGGCGGAGACGCGCCTTCCCCGGAGCATCCTCTCGGGGCACGGCGGGCGGGCGGGCGCCCTCCCCGCGGTGCAGCCGGGGGTCACCCGGGCAGGCCTCGCCGCGATTAGCCGCCCCCCGCCCTCCTCCCGCGCCGCTTCCCCCTCTAATTGAAAATCGTTCAGTTTGGGGCTGGCTGCGGAGGGGCCTGGGCGGCGGGCTCGTTTTGCATAAGTGATATTTATCGCAGAGGCGCGGATAATTAACAGGCCGGCTTCCCCCGCGAGGGCAGGGCGGCCCGGGCCTGGGGAGGGCGAGGGGCAGTCCGGAGAGGGGGAAAGGAGGGCGGCGCGGCGCGGCGCGGCGCGGCGAGGCGGCGGACTCGCGTCTTCTGCCCTTTCCCCCTTTTGCAGACTGAGCAGATGATGCTCGCCAACGCGATCTGGTTTTGCTGTGCTGCCGCTATTATTATTATTATTATTATTATTATTATTATTATTATTATTATTAGGTTTCTGCTCGGGCAAATAGCCTAAATAGACATTAAATATGTAGAGAAATCAGCACAGCGCAGCCGCCTCGAGGGACCTGAGCATGAATTTTTAATAGCTCCGAGAGAGGCAGCGGGGGGGGGAGGGGGGAGGGGAGGGGGGACAAGCGGAACGGAGCCGCCTTCCTCGGGACCCACACGGGCTCCTGCAATTGACCAGGCCAGCTCTCTGCATCGCTTCAGCGCGTCTCTCGGCCGTGAAATTGACGAAACCAAAAGGTGGACGGAAATCTGGAAAAAGGCGGGCGCTCGAGGAAAAACGCAATCGATCAGCCCGGTGCGCGCCCGCACACCCGCGCACACACACACACACGCACCCGTGCCCAGCCCTGCTTTCCTTCCTGCCTACCCGACTCCTGGTCTGTCCCCGCCTAACCCCAATCCGGGAGTGCGCGCTGGACACCCCCGCTCCTTTCCGCCCTCCCCGCGGCTTTCCACAACTATCGAGCTTTATTTTCATAATTCACAGAAAGAGGGCTTTTGTTCGCGCTCGCCCTCGCCCCTTCCTCCCCCACTCCTCCCATCTCTGCCGGCCTTTGCAGCCGCCGAAGGGAACGCGCGCCATGCACGCCTCCCATCCCACCTTGCCGCGGCCGGCAAGTTTCTCTGCACGGACCGCAGTGGGGAATTCGGCCCTCCTGGCCGTCAGCGGGTTCCCGAAGCCGCTCTGCAACAAGTGTGCCCGGGCTGGCTCGCAGACGGTGCCGGATCCGGATCCGGATCCGGGCCCGCGCGCCGCGCCGCGGTCCTTGGATGCGCGAAGCTCCGTGCGGGCCTGAAACGGTGCGGACCCCGCGCCTCTGGACGCGAGGGAGAAACGACAACGGCTGAAAGCAGTCGCTGCCCAAAGAAGCAAGTTTTTCGACTGCCTGGAAGAACCCCTCCCGGAGTTCTCCGACCGTGCTTTCTTGAGGGAGATCAGCGAGACGAGGCGAGACGAGGCAACTGTGTAGCCCGTTTACGCGGAAGGAAGTATACGGTGTGTTCAATGGGGTTTACTCCCGGATCAGCGCACGTAAGGCTGCCACCCACAAAAATTACTTACGGCCTCATTTTGACCCAAAAACGGGGCATCTTTGAGGATCAGAGGATTTTTTTTTTAAAGTTTCGAAATACCCGCTCCTAAACACCATGTGGGAGGCAAATCCCATTGAGAGCAATGGGATTTGCCGCCAGGTAACAGTGTCGAGGAATTCCGGGGAGAATGCCGGCCGCGTGTGCGAGCACGCGCACATACCTCCTCCCTGTCCCACATTTCTACGCCTCTGTTAAAATCCTTTCCTCAGAAAACAAGAAAGCGCCCGATTTCCGTCCGCATGAGCCTCCCTCGGTGCGCCAGACGCGGAGAAGCCCGACCGGCAGCGAATCGACGGCTCCCGCCACGGTCCCCAGCACGGTGTTTTATTAGTGCAAACAGCCTTGCCGTTAAAAAGGGGAACGCCATGCAAAAGTCTGGTCGATAGACCAATTCAGACGTTTCTCACGTTAATTATCATCACTAAGACCGAATGAGCGAGGGGGAGGGGAAAGGGCGAAGGGGAGAGCGGGGCCCACCTTGGGCTACACGGTGCTTCCAAACTGTCTTGTTAGGAAGAGGGTGACAAGTGCAACCACACGCACGAACAAAGGATGTAACTAGGCACGGACCCAGTAACACCAGGGCCGGAGAAAGACACTCTCCCCGTCTACTTCTTCCGTTCCTTTTGCTCGAGCGAGTGGGCTGACTCGTAATTAAGCGAGCAGGGGTGCTAATTAATAATAAATCAGCTAGACATGCAGATAAAGGGTCTCTCCTTTCTCCCCCCGCCCCCCCACCTCGGGAATTGAAATGGCCCGAGAAGACCAATCCTTGATTTATGCAGATTCAAAGGTAATGATGGTGGGGGCTGCGGTGGGTGTCGGGTGGGGGTGGTCGTGGTCGGGGGCAGATGAGGAGGGAGGCGAGGGAGGATTGGGAAACCAAAAGTCATCCCTGCGTAAGGTGTTACTGTGTCTCCCCCCTCCTCCCCACACACGCTAATCAATACCAGCCAACGATTAATTGCTACCGAACAGAATCAATCAAACTACAGGTGAATGAGGCAATTGTCAGAAAGAGGCGGGATTCCTGCCCCTAAATGCATCTGTAAACATTCTCTTCGGGCATTATTATGCGCGTGTGAACGGAAGCCTCCGCCGAAGCCTCTCTAGTTCGGAACACGTATGAAACAAAAGATCGCCATTGACTGGGAGCGAGCACGCTCCGTTTGACAGGCGAAAGGAGCCGGGCTGCATTGTGACGGCTGCTGACAGAAAGCAAGCCACCGGTCCTGCTTTTCACACTTCCTCGTATCAGGGATACAGCCAAGGAAGGGCCGAATTAATGCTACAGTTCCTCCTTCTCTCCCTTGCAACAGAGAAGTCTAAAATGTAAAAACATTTAAAGCCATCGACACGGACGCAATTCCCCTCTGGGGTCTCCAAGCTTTTCGACAGCCTTCAGCATAATAGTGCTAGGAAGACGGCCGGTCGCCCAGCACACGTATTTCCCGCGTCTGCCTTTCTCAAGCTGATTCATTTGTCAACAGTCCGTGCTGTAATATTTTTCATTACATGCATAACAAACCTTAATGGACGAAATGTTTTGCCATCTAGAACAATAGAAGGGAAGGAGACTTCCCCTTGTCGTCACTAGAGGGCGCCCGCAAATAACTCGGCACACATCAAAAGAACAATATACCAACCAAAAACAGAAAAAGAAAGGAAAAAATGTGATTGTTCTCGGTCCCTTCATCCTCTCTCGCTTCAGAGATATCCAATCTGTTCTGCAGAAAATAGAACCTGTTTTCCCCACCTCGCTCCTTCCCTCCCTTGCAAAAGAACCTCGAAGCTTTCTGATGCATTCATTTGGTAGCTTAAACGCTCAGCTCCGCATTTTTCACAGCCCAGAGGCTGGTTTTAATTTTCTTGTTGTCATCAGTGGTGACTTTGAATCGACACACACACACACACACACACCTGGGACAAAAGGGGGTGGCAGAAATGCCGATTTCCACCTCCACATCGGCGCAATCGTCCCGATTCATCTTGCAAACCGCGTTCATTCGGAGCTGAGCTTTCAGGTATTCCAAAAAGAACAACAGTGATGAAAGCGCGCAGAGTGGACACTCACAGCTGGGAAAGCAAGCTCTTTTTAAAACACACGCGCACCTCCACAAACTGCCTCCTCGCCCCTGCCGGCCAATGCCCCAAAATCCGAAAAGGGAAGGAGAAGCCTCTGCCTTCCTCGGGGAGGTTCCCAGCCTGGGAAGCAACGCCACCTCCACCTAGACCAGTCGCGCCGGAAGGGTTTTCATGGGGCTTGTTCGGAGGTTCAGTCCTCAAGCATTACTATTGCTCTTATTTGCGGGGTGGTCAATAGGGCTGGACGTCCCCCTCCAGAAGCACAGAAGCATCCGAGGCACCGCTCCGCAGCGAGACAGGTGCAAACGCACGCGCAGCACCCCGGCGGGGCATTGTTTCCGTAGCACCTTCCCCCCGGGCAGCGGCAGCAGGACGCGCGTCTGTCGCTGCTGCGGGCGGCACGGCCACGTCCGAGAGCCCCGGGAGGCGGCCGGGTCGCCCGGCTGCGCCCGCGAAGAGCCCAGCCTCCGCCACACGGCCGCCCGCGCCATCCGCCCCGCGCCGGGGACGCACGGAACGGCCCGCCGCCCCACGGGCCGGAGCACGCCGGCGACCCGCGGCGCCCTCGCCCAGGAGGCGAGGCCGAGCGCGCAACTCACCGGCCAGTCTCAGGGCTGACATTCTCTGGAACTCGGGTTCCTGCAGCCACTTCCACATTCTCCTGAAGGTCTCCCTGCCCGATTTCAGTTTACTCCAAGGTTTAGGGTTCCGCAGAAGGTCGGAAAGGGTCCCCTGAGAGCGGCACAGCACGCGCTGGGCGAAGATCGCCTGCGGGATGCTGTAGCGCTTCAGCTCCGCGGTGATCCGCTGCGCCACTTCTTTGGTGTTGATCTCCTCCAGCTGCCCCGGCAGGGAGACCTTCAGGAGAATGTGGAAGTGGCTG